AGCATCATCGTTTGTCCCTCGGACAGCAAAGTGGCCGCTTCCCTTGAAACCCCCCCCCCCCCCTTGCCCCCCCTTTGCCCCGTCTTTGAAGAGTGCCGGTAGTTTATGGTCCGACTGGCTCTGACGAAACCTAACCGATGTTGCAGGAGCCATCGACGACGAAACGAGGATGGGAAATCCGCCACCCACCTGTCGGGTTGACCATTCGGGACCGAGGCCAGGGTACCGAGTCGGGGGAGATATGTATGTCATGCGACCATAAAATGTCTTCCTCCTAAGATTTACCGTCCGTCAGCCAGTTCGGCGGTCGCAACGTAGGAATTTCCTCTAATTAGTGCGTGGTTCCGTCCGATCCCAGACCGGAGGAGAGGAGCTCGGCCAGCTGCCACACGTGCTCGCTCGCTTGCTCTCTCTCTCTCTCTCTCTTCTTTCTCCTCTTTTCTTTATTCCATGGTCCACTTTTCCCTTCTTTCACATCCGTATATCCATCCCACATTCCCACAAAGGAATCGCTCGTCATCGCAAGCCTGTTTTAGGATCGCGTCGGGAAGTGACCGGCGGTGACCAGGTCCCGCGCTCCCTCACCCCGAGCGGCTCCGAACGAAACCGCTCGGTTATAAAACCACCGAAAGACTAACGAGCTCATTCATTCGCCCAGGGACAATCGCCCAATTTCGTCATCCTTATCTCGTCCTGCCGCGTCTTCCTCGACGGCCTCAAACACCAACGAACAAAGCATTCGGAGCCGAAGATAGGCTCCAGAACGGTGCGTGGCCAGCTTCACGATTTCAAAAGACTTCGGGTAGGAAGGAGGGACGAGAAAAAAAGAAAGAGGGCGTATTCTCGAGTCCATACAATGACAAGCATTTGCGTCATGTCTCCGAGTCACGAACTTGTGATTGGCCACAATTCCTTAGCGTGGGAAAACCTCTAGCTGGTATACACGTACCAAGGTTTTACTGCCCTCCAGCGCCCGCCTCCATGCTTAGCATTCTATTTTTCGGCTCGTCGTTTCCCTTGACCATCCTTACGCCTTGGCACGGATTTGCTGCAGTTTCCGAAGGCCGTTCGTTTCGTCATTTTATTCAGTGGTGCTGGTTAAGGGTCAAACGCACGGAACAAATCAAACGCAACAAATCGTCGGCAGTCTGCGACTTCACTGTTCACTTTCGCGAAGACATTTATCTTGGACGTCGAATGCCATCGAGTCATTCCGTGAAGGTCGGCCGATTTTTGCAAAGGAAAAAAAAAAAAGGCAAATAGTTTCAAGGCGTCGGGACATGAGGCGCGACGCGTAGAGGCGGGAGGAAACATGGGCTAATATTCGATTGAGATCCGCAGGAAGAAAGATCCCTGATAATTTGTGGGGTGTGGACGGGGGAGAGAGAAGGAAGAAAGGAAGAGCCTCCGGAGACACTGTAATTATGAACCTGCAAAGTCACGGGCACAGAGAGAGAGAGAGAGAGAGTGGACTTTATCGAATTGCACCGTGGACACACGGCATCGACTGCAAAGCGACGACACAATGACGCCTCCATCATTCCCGTGTGTTTTGATTCCTATCTCCCGCAGGAGTCCACAACAATAAACAACAAGGTGGTGTTGGAGCCGTAAATATTTTATAACCTCTCCATTGTATCCCGAGTAACGTTGTTATAAAATGGCTGCAGCCGGAGAACCGAGGGGGGAAACCTGGGCGGCTCTGGCTTTGTTCTGGTCCCGTCTGTCAGCTGGAATTTTTCTCAAACCGACGTTGAATAACCGTTATCAAGTGATTTGCGCCTCGGACACCTCGTGGTCTGAATCCCCTCGGGGTTCTTGGTGTCACGGGTGCACATGGACGAGAGAGAGAGAGAGAGAAAAGGGAGAAAAGAAGCCGCCCGGCAGGGAATTCTACAGGGAATTCTATGAATTGCAGAAATCCGTAGAGTTCATTAGCACGTTCCGCCCTCTGGGAATGGATCATGTCCCAATCAGAGTGAATGCTGAGTTGCCGAGTTCATTCATTAAACGCGAATGCACAGAGGCAGCAGCTTCCGTTTACTCCTGGCATTCCTTAGAGGAAGGGGGGTCGGGAACTTTTTCAAGACCGCCAACTCTGACCCTGAATCGAATGAATGAATCCTCCGTTCCCGGAGGTTTGCCATAACAACTCGGCTTTACACCCTCCGATGCGTTTTCACCCTCAAACGCATCCAATTACTTAGTCTAGAAGCCGCTTCGATTTCCCTTCATCGTTATTTTTAAATATCGAACGCGACTCACCGTAAATAGTCTTCTTTGCAGTAGATGCTCCCCTGCCTGGCAAAGCAGGTGAGGGCACCCTCTAAGGGGCGGGCGCACTGAGCACAGCGGAGGCAAGACGCATGCCACGCCCTGTCGACGGCTTGCAGGTACCACCGATCCAGGATCTTGTTGTGACATCCGGCGCAATACACCACGGCTCCGCTCTGCACCGAAATCGTGCACGGATGAGAACGGGTCGAGCCCCTCGCCGAGAGGCTCGCGAAAGGGACTCACATCTGGAGAGGACAGATCCAGCTCCCCGGGCTCGGATTTCGGCTTCACGGGTCGGAGTTCCAAGTACGCCGGCTCGTTGCTCCGGATGCAGCTCCCGGGGCTGCCCGGGAGCTCGTGGTTCGTGGGACTCAGTCCCTGGGATGAGGAGGTCGGACTCGGTCCCTGGAGCGTTCTGACGTCTGGCTTGTGGTCGTTGATCAGACCCGGTCCTTCCAGAACCCCGGGCATCACTGAGTTTCCATTGTCGTACTCACCGCACTGGGGGAGAGATGAGAAAAAAAAATCGTTTGATGAATGTGGCTCTTCCCGCCGTAATTTACAAAGAGTGACACGCCCCATATAGATTCAAATTGAGTTTAATTATTTTCACTGCGGGCCTCTGCGGGAATAACACCAACTTAGTTAAATGGCTAATCGTAGGAGCCCATCGTAAATTTGCTTAATTCAAGTTAAATGGATCTGGTGTGCGCCGCATGAGATCGAAGTTCCTCTCTCAAATCCTTTCCCTTTGATGCGACGTGGACACGATGGGTATGGAAATCTCAAATGACTTACGTAAAACGCCTTTTCTCTACACGATCGGTTCGGCCTTTAAAAAAAAAAAAAGAAAAAAAGAAAAAAAAAAAGAGGGGGAAAGAGGGAGGAGGG